CAAAAAGTTTCAAATCTGTCATCAGCAATTCAATAAGTTTCAATTTGCATATTAATTTTATATTAGGTCATTGAACAGAAGCCCTTGTTTGAAAAAAACAAGTGTCTTTTTACTTTTGTCATTATTATTGTCATAAATTATTGTAAATAAGCTTATCTTTCTCTTTCCATTTCAGCAATTTCTTGATTTATCCTTCCTTTCTAATTTCATGTTATATATATATATATATATATATATATATTTCTATCATCACTTGACAATGGAACAAGACTGGATTTTAAGTTTAATTTTAATAATTAAATTTATAATTTTAGTTTCAGTTTTGAAACATGGAAATTTTCTGTGTCACAATGGAATCATTTTTTTAAAAAGAAAATAATTATAAAATCATATATATATATATATATATATATATATATATATATATATATATATATATATATATACACATGCATGATGACCTATAGAGGATAAAATATAGTTTTATGGTATGCTATATTTATATATATTTATGGGTTAAAGTGCTCAATGTCCACAATAGAGTGTATGTAAATATAAAAGTGGATATTGAAGTCAACACCCATATGGAACAGCTTCATGTTAAATGTAATCATCAGGCCTGATGATTGCATTTAGCATAAAACTGTTGCTTCTGAGTGATGACTTCAATGTCCAATATATATATATATAGGCAGTATATCTTCATTCAAGCATATTTGGTTAAGTAATATGGACATATTATGTGTATTTATTTTTATTGTAATCCTCTCAAATTTTCTGATTGACTTCTTAATGTTGATATTAAATTCATTAAGGAAGGAGCCATAGTTTTTTATTATTTTCATTTTTATTTTTATTTTCACAGGTACTTTCAATCTCATCTGAGATCATCTTATATATATATATATATATATATATATATATATATATATAATGGACTCTCTTGTCAATTTTGATGTATGAATATCTAGCTGCTTATATGTTAGCCAATAGATGTTTATGTCAAATATGAGACATTAGACCCACAAGAGACGTACAGAATAGACCTCACAGATTGTGGGCCATGAGACAAAACTGCTGGTCCTAACGTAGATTGTATAGTTTTGCTCTTGCTTCTCTTAAATGTTGGAAGTATCCAGTTCAAATGCTTTTATGTCATTGTGATAGCATATACTCTACTCTTTTTGGTCCAGAGCTATCTGCTCAAAAGTTTTCAAGTGATAACCCAACAGCATTAAGATTACTCTTCAGCTTGTCTTTGTACCTGAACCATGGTCTGCCTATGTTCTTTTTTTGCCATTGTGTAGCTGGCTGTACACAAGGAGATTTGATATTCAATTGGCACTCATTCCAATGACATAACCAGCCCATCATCATGTCTCCAATTTTGCACTTTGCAAACAGATTAGTATTCTATTAAAAATGTTGTCAGGAAAGGCACCCAGAAAAAATGGTATATATGACCAAATATATATATATATATATATATATATATATATATATATATATATATATATATATATATGTGAAAAGTGTATATAAATATAAATAAATATATATATGTATAATTATTTATATATTATATGTGCGGTACTTATTAGAAAGCTAAATATCAGAGATAGAGCTAACATATTTGGTTGGATACATCTATTCAAAAATATATATATATATATATATATATATATATATATATATATATATATATATATATATATATATATATATATATATATATATATATATATATATATATATATATATATATATATATATATATATATATATATAAACCTGGAAGTCAAAAATGGCTACAATTGAAAGACAAGAGAAAAAAGGGATAGAGGTTTAAGGAGTGAGTGTAAATTGAAGAAAACAATGAAAAGGACAATTAACCATGACATGCTAAGCATATAAAAGGGAAAAATTCAAAAGAATAAGCAGTCAATTGTGGACACCTCTGATGAGTGAAGGGTTTGTCTACAAAACTCTGGAGTTGGCATGCTGAAGTTAACATCAATCAGCTAAGTGAAAATCTTTTACTTCTTTCTCTCTTTAGATATATATATATATATATATATATATATATAATAACCCATTGGTATATAATACAAGTGAATCCTAATAATATAAAATATTAAAACTGATTCACAAAAAGAACAATGTATTTATTATAAAAGAGCATATAAATTACATAGAATAGAAATCCCAAATTACCTCATTTGAATAGCTATTTCAGCTCACAAGACTTACTTATGCCTTGTCAACTCAGAGGTATAAAGAAATAAAAATTATAAAGAGGTGTGAAGAAATAAATTTTTTTGTTTCTTCACACCTCTGAGTTGATAAGGCCTATAAGTAAGTCTTGTGGGCTGAAATAGCTATTCAAATGAGGTAATTTGGGATTTCTATTCTATGTTATATATATATATATATATATATATATATATATTAATAATAAAAATAATGAAGTCATAGATAATCTTGAGATGTCTACATGGATGAAGCTTTGAAGTATTTTTTTACAATCAAAAATACTTTTTTATTTTTATTCTAATATATAATAATAATATTAATTATATAGTGGAGATATACATTCTTTAGATGTATTCCTGAAATAAGCTTTGGAGTAAAAATATTAAAAACTAAAAATATTTAGGTGCACATATATGTGTTTGTGTGCATTGGTTCCTGTGTTTATATATTGCCTTCAAATAAAAGTTTGCAGTGTTTTTTTTAAATGAATTTTAAAGATAATATTTAGATATTTTGCACATAGATTTATGCAACCATAGATGTGCCATTTTTCTACTACCATTTGCTGTCTTTGCTTTATGATTCCTTCCAGAACTTGGCATCTTTCTGGGTGATGAACTGGTCTAAATGGTTTCTATAGGTTTCCAAAGAATTGAAGATCTCCCTATTAAGAAAATTTTGTAAAAATCAAAATAAGTGAGAATCTGAAAGTGCAAATTCAGGTGAGTACAACAGATGAAGTAGGACATCCCTGCAAATCTATACCAATTTCTGACAAATTTGCAAAGTCCTGATGGAAAATGATAAACTTCTTGTTGGCAAATTTGGAACACTTTTCATCGACTGCTATTTTAATTTATCTAATTGGGAATGGTACTCGTCTGAATAAAATTTTGTGAAAGGAGCTTGTAATACACAATGTCATTCCAGACCAGACCAGCTTTCCTTTTTCCCTAGGACCTTTTTCATTCTACATTGTTGTAACTTATCCACTTTTCATCACTTGTGATCATTCTTTTCAAAAGATATGTAAACAGCTAAAATTTGATTCCTGATAGCTGAATCGGTTTTCACAGCTAATAGCTTTTGTGTTACTCTATGGGCTCAAATGATTGTATAAAGCGAAACAGAATAAAAATTACTCTTCAAAACTTGGCCCAACATTTTAAATTTACATCACTCTGCTTTCTGCCAAACCCCCAGGACAGAGTCAAATATTATTAGGTTGCTCAGAAAGTAATGCCACATTTTTGGAGACAGAAAAAAACCTTGTTCAAATGTAGTAAAAGTTAAACCTTTTTAATTCAATTGTTGTGCAAAAAGTCTTATCAGTATTTTTTTCATAATAGTGAGTTTGTGAGACCTTCAATAGACTCTACTCTTTAGATCCAATGTGTTTTTATAGTATTGATTCCATAATAATAATAATAATTGAGAATCCTTCATCTAAGAAAAACTGCAGATGAAAGTAAATGCATGCCAAAAATTGATAATAGTGATTGAAAATGCTTCATCTATGAAAATGAAAATAAATACTAATAAAAAAATTTAATAGTAATAAAGGTTTTTTCTTTGTAGTAATATATGTCTAAACTTCATCTTATAAAATAATTGAAAATTAATTATAATAATGATAGATAATGTTTCATCTGTACAATGCAAAGATGAAAGTAAATATTACTCAAAAATTAATAATAATAATAATAATAATAATAATAATAATTGATGAAGTTGGATAGCCCACAGTATTCTGGAACTATGATTTTCAGACAGGTTGATACACCATCGCTGTCTAGATATTATTGTGCAAAGTAAAAGCACCCTAAAACTGTCATAGTATTGATATTGCCATACCAAATAACACAAATATAGCAAACAAGGTGATTGAGAAAATTACAAATTACTCTGATTTGAAAGTTGAAATGGCAAAATTGTTTGGAATGCAGGAAGGGAATATCAAGATGATTCCAATAGTAATTGGCACATTGTGATCAACTCCATTAAAAATGTGTGACTTCCTTGACCCACTAGGGATATGAGACCAACTTGGAGTCATCTAAAGACAGCTCTTTTGAGCACTCCACATATTTTGAGGAAAGTGTTGTTTGAATGAGATTCTTGTAGGGGTTTGACAGGTGATTTAATGTACCCAGTGTATACAAAAACTCAGTGTGTGAGAAAACATAATAATAATAATATTAGTAATAATAATAATAATAATAATAATAATAATAGCTGTCAATGTGTCATCTAATAAAAATAAAAATAATAAATTTAACTTTTGCTATATTTTTTTTACAGGTTTCTATCCCAAATCCAAAACTGAGACATTATTTTCTAAACAACCTCATAAAACTGTTTGGTAAGCATTTTAGAAAAAAATAATGTCATCTTGATTAGGCATTTAATTTTTATTAGTTTTGAGATCCTGAAGAAAGATGACATTCTAAAACTAACAATGAATAAAATTCTAGTGCATGAGTGATTTGTTTTTTATAGCTCATCAACCCTTTTCAGGTTATTTAAAGCCAGAAAATATTTTTAGTTTGTAAGAATTTTGAGAGATAATGATTTACTGATACAAGTCATGCTAATTAAACCATAGCTGGGGGAGAAGAGATGGATTCATACCTTTTCCAAAAGTATTTGTGCATAAGTAAATATAATGAACTCAATTGGAATTGGAACTCAGCTCTCAAATTTCCAATTCAGAGATGTTATCCATTACACTTCCTGCACATCCAAGTTTACAGCACCTGATATTTTCAAGTGGTCACCCATCCAAGTACTGAACCAGCTCGATGTTGCTTAACTTTGGTTATCATTTGAGAACCAGTGTTTCAAAATGATACCATAATAAAATTAAATTCTAATGTTAATTTTACTATCAATGTTTTCACATTGCTTAGTTTTTATATATTTTTTTTTAATTTTTAAAAATTTTTATAAAAAAAAATCGTCATCACATTATTCTCTCTGGCAAGTTGCCTCAACTCTTCACCCAGCCTTGGCAGTGTGGCAGGAGTTCTGATATAATGCGACACAAGCACACACCACATGCTCTCCCTGACATCAACCATCTTTCGTCTTATTCTCATGAACAAAAAGCAAAAAGAAAATCTTGCACTCTCTGCTTTCACCAGGGCCTATATGCAGTCATCATTATTTACACACACTTGCTGCTGCCGATGATAGAAATGTTGCTGTACTGACGGGTGCTGCTTTTATTAATACTGCAACAGAAGATGCTTGTGTCTGTCTGTTCCAAGCAGGATAGCCCACCATGTCAGGGCTTCCTCAGCTGACCGACAATTATTGATGACTCTCAGAGGTTAATCAAAGCTACTGTGTGTTGAGCAGTTGTGTCCAGTTATTGATACTATTACAAATGATGCAACAGTTGCAGGGGAGGGTCAGCTACTGCTAATGCAAATATTGTTAACTGCCTTATTTTGTTACTAATGGCAACACTGCCACTGCAGTAGTAGCACACTAGTAACCACTGCTACTTGTTGCTACTAAGACATTTCTTCAACTGCAATTCCTCCCCAAAAAGTGTTTTTTTAATTATCGATATTGCTAATAATGTCCTTGCGAGCATAACAAACAGAAACTCAGCAACTGTTAAAGCTGTAAGCTTTTTTTTTTTATTTTTTACATTTATTTATTTTTTTTATTAATCAAGTTCACCCCAAGCAAGGCAGTAAAGCCACTAAGACATAAGGGGTTACTGGGTGTGGAAGAATTAGAAAACAGAAACAGTAGTAAGGAGTGAGAACAAAAGAAGAGTAATCAGGAGGAGAGTAGATAGCAATTGACTTTGCATTTAAATTTTTGAAGATCAAAGTTGGCTGGAAAACACAGAGGCAGAAGTGAGTTTCACAAGCGAGAAATCCAAGAAAAGAAATCGTTATCATAGAATTTCTGGTTACATCTAGCCAACTAAACTGTATGAGACCTTGTTACCAATCTAGTACTGCACTTAAATTAAAAAAAAGTCTAGGTACCATAGCGAAGAGCTCATCTGAACACTTACCATGAAAGTATTTATAGAAAAAGTACAATGAGGCAACCTTACAGTAGTGGGAAAGTGACTGAAGCCAAGATGCCAGATCAGGACCAATAATATTGATGATTCTTCCTTGGATTTTATGAAGGAGCTCTAGATAAATAGATGAAGCACCAGACAATATGTGACAGCAATATTCTCAGAATGGATGAATAGTAGACTTATAGATATGTAAGACTATGTTCCCTATCTTTTTGTTATTATCACAATCTTTCGGCTATTGTGTCCAGGGCCTTGTTGATCTGGGTAATCATCAGGAATTTTGAACTGCACCCTTCATTTCTCATATCTTCTTGTGCATAATACAAGAAATTTTGGACAAAAATTAAAGGTAGTTCATATTGTACACGTTTTCAGAAAATTTTACTCAGCTTAAAAAGCCTCTTATTTGAAACAGCAACTTTGCATATCCGCTCAGTTTTGCTCTCAAAATAAAGTTTGTTTATATTTTGATTTTCTTGTTTTTTATAAAGTTTTCTCTCTTCATTCTTAAAGACAGACAATATTTTTTTTTATTTTCATAGTTTATTAACATATAGAAATATAATAAAGTTATATGAAACAGAAAACTATGATAGATTAATTAACACCTTAAAATGTATTACTAGGTATGTCTAGTTAGCACCTTTCTCCAAAAATTTGAAAATAAATTTTGAAATGGAAACTAGGAGAAGAAACATGTAATGGCTAAACATTCATTTTATTTCTATTCTTTAATAATGTGAAAAATTAAATATATTTTTTAAATATATGTATGACATTGAGATTTTAATGGAGAATATGATACAACTTTTCAAAAAAAATTACATAGCGATGACTGTACTATAGGGTCATATTATACACAAGGATGTAATTTATTCTTTGTTTTTAGCTTCACAAACAAGGGGTTGTATTATACACAAGTTGCATTATACACAAGAAAAATACAGTAATCTTTACAGAAAGATTATTCTTATTCTGCTGTTGATATTTAAGGATATCTCATTTTATTCTTATTTTGTACTATTCAGTCATTGTTCACATTGTTTCTTTTGAGTCTAAGTCTGCCCTTTCATGCCTAGGGATTTAACTTAGTATTACTTTGTCACCAAATTCATAAACCAACAGTTTAATCCACCAGTTTTACTTGGGTTTTAACACTTTACCTGCCATAAAACAATTATTAATAATGACATGATTAACAATACCATTGTAGTATATGATTCACTTCAGATGTTGGTAAAATTAAACATGAATTCAGTGTCCTTTAGAGAAGTCAGGTGCATCAGCAGGTTGACTTGAGAGATGACCTCCTAACTGCCAAGTGCAGATCTGTACTTCACCTAATGTCAGTGGCTCTCTCCAATATGTAACATGTGAAGATTTAGCTTTTATATTACTATGTAGTAGTATATGGCTGACCTCAGATGATGTCAGAATAGACTTTGCACTTAATGTCCTACAGAGAATCCAGGTGAAGGGTCAATCTGAAAGATGACCTTCAAGATTGTAGTGGAGAGACACACTTCACTGAAAGTCAGTGACTGCCCTCAAAATGTAAACACATGGTTACCCAGCTGCACCTGGGATGTAAATGTGTGAGTAAGACCAAATCACAGGTAGATAAATAAGCATTTACCCAAGACAATTGAAGAGACTTGTACAGCCTTTTAAGAATGTAGAATTCACCTTTAAAGAAAACCCTAAATCCTCTCACCTGCTGACTGACAATAGTTGATGGAGTACAAAGTGGGATGGGCAATGATATAACATGATTGATTTAGTTTGATATTTTCAGTAGAAATGTATACATTACACTATTGTAAATTGTGGCATCATAAACTCAATAACAGTAAAATTTAATTCAGCATAAACACATGGTCTGTCCAAAAAGTATATTTCTATTTCATACTCATGAAAAAGCAGGAGACCTGACACATTTACATCAACATATCTTCCACTTTTCAAAACATCCTGAAAAATTCTCTTTCAGGATTGCCATCAGCTGCCACATCACAATTTCTTTCATCCACAGTCTGAAATCTCTTCTTTATCAAAAGAGATTTTAACATTAATGGTGCTGATAAATCAGGATAATGTGCAGAATAGGCAGTTGCAAATAAGTTACTGACAGACAATGTACACCAAAGAAAGAAAGAAAGAAGGAAATGGGGCCTGATAAATCTGGATGATTCTATGTTTTACCAAATGTGCAGAATGAGCAGTTGCAGATATGTTACAACCATGCAATGTGCACCAAAGAAAGAAAGAAGGAAAGGGTTGTTGATAAATCTGGGTAATTCAATGTTTTCCCAGTTGCAGATATGTTACAAACCATGCAATGTGCACCAAAGAAAGAAAGAAGGAAAGGGTTGTTGATAAATCTGGGTAATTCAATGTTTTCCCAGTTGCAGATATGTTACAAACCATGCAATGTGCACCAAAGAAAGAAAGAAGGAAAGGGTTGTTGATAAATCTGGGTAATTCAATGTTTTCCCAGTTGCAGATATGTTACAACCATGCAATGTGCACCAAAGAAAGAAAGAAGGAAAGGGTTGTTGATAAATCTGGGTAATTCAATGTTTTCCCAGTTGCAGATATGTTACAACCATGCAATGTGCACCAAAGAAAGAAAGAAGGAAAGGGTTGTTGATAAATCTGGGTAATTCAATGTTTTCCCAGTTGCAGATATGTTACAACCATGCAATGTGCACCAAAGAAAGAAAGAAGGAAAGGGTTGTTGATAAATCTGGGTAATTCAATGTTTTCCCAGTTGCAGATATGTTACAACCATGCAATGTGCACCAAAGAAAGAAAGAATGAATGAATGAAAGTAAAAACAAAAAGGAAACTTCATCACTGATACATAACATTGTATGTTATTGAAGTCCAGACTTTATCAACTGACAGTCTGTCTGCCCTAAGACCCTCCCCAAATGCTCTGCATCAGAGTAATATGATGCTATTATTTAAGTGGCAACTATCAACTGAAATTTTCAAGAAAAATGGAAACAAATAGGACACTTGTATGTAGAATCAAATTTCTAGGACACAATGAAAAAAGAGAGCTTGGAGAATTCAACACTCACAGGATGCAAAAGGTGCAGAGAGAAACATCAAGTAACAAGCTTGTGCAAATTGATGCAGAATGGACTGGATGAGATAGTAAGGAGATAAACAGTTGTTAGATTAACAAAGGTTAGGAAGTTGTGGAGAGATATAATCACACATGTCTCCAAGGGAATCTGTGAGTAATAAAACTAATAAGCTTGCCTTAATGGATGGCAGAATATGAACTGAATGGGATAATAAGGGAATAAACATTGCTTAGAGATACAATGCTAGGTAGTTGATCTCTCATGCCTCAAAGGGAAAACTGCAGTTGAAAAGGTAGAGGAAGTGGTTTCCTGTTACCAGAGACTGAGTAAGAAAAAAGTTCCACTCAGGAACCTTTTTCCCCAAGAACTGCAACTCTGTAGAACAAACTCCTGTGTAGTTGCTTCCTGGAATAATTAAATATTGACCTCTTTGAGTCAAGAGTCAATTATTATCTATTCTCTTTATCATCATGATCTTCACTTCCTACCACCTTCTTTCCCATTCTCATCAAACAGCTCATTCATTACTTTGACTGTATACTCTACCTATGTGGCTTTCGGACCTTGTATCGGGTGAAATTTAGAAAAAAAAAAGAGTACACAGTATTTTGCTGGGAACATTTACACATACTTCATATATGGTCATTTACTAATTAGTCTGGCACAAGGTACCAAGTATATAGCACTCAGGGAGGAG